ATTAAAATAAAAATAAAAATAAGTTAAAATTTTATACACTAAGACTAAATGTAATACTGCGCCTCACAATTAATAAATTTACTAGGTATACTACGGCATTACACCGTACAAATTCCTCTGTTGCGATATATTATTAATAAACTTTTATTGATTAATTTTAAATATATATCTATGGACTTATAGCTTTAACATTATTGCTTTTAATTTTTCAGTTTAATATTATTGCTTATAATGTATTAACTTATATGAATAAAAAAAAACACGGAATAAATTTTTTATAGGGTTCTGACTCACATCAACTGTCAGCTAACGCAAATCGACAATTGACAACAAAGATCGTAGGTATTTTCTATAATCAATCATTCATATCTATGAAAATTAACAGTTATTAATGTACTTGTGAAATGAATCTTTTCAAAAAAAGATAAATCAAAAACGGAAAGTGATTTCCATTTTTATTTTGAATTTTTTTTGGATGAGCTCATTTTTTATTTTGAAAGAGTTTTTGAAATTTTAAGTCAACTTTATTAATACGAAAAGAGAAAGCATAAACTAAATAATTAATGTCCTTTTCTATTAAATAATAAAAAATATTTTAAAGAAGGTTAGTTTCACCTATATGAACAATTCGGCGTTTCCGAAATTATAAAGTTTAATGATTAATAGTGTATCTTCTACTTTTGTACAAGTTTTTTGTGCCGTTCTGTGAAAGTGATGCCGATATTCAGCTAAAATATGAATTATTTAAGTCAGCTAATATTTAGGTATAAAAATCTTTAATACTGGTATGGTATTTAGTATTTATTTTTAAGAAATGATCCAATCAAGTTGATTTTAAGCTGAGCCTATTTTCAAATTTTTCAAATTGATTATGGAGAAAAGTTCGTTTGGCTTAGTCTAACATTTTTTATATTCCTGTTTATATCACGTGTTAAATAAATAAGTATCCATATTGTGTTTGAAAATATTTTTTTTGCGTTATTATTACCATAATTTACAGTATAATTACTAAGAGAATTATAATACATAAAAATGCGCTTAATAATATTTATTGATCAAGCATTAGATCATCCTGTGCGTAGTAAATACGTATTTAGTAGGAAGGCTGAGAAATAATGGTTCTTGAAGATATATTAATTTGTGTTACGAAAAAAAATAATATATCCATTGACTTTTTAACTTTTGAGTTTCCAGATTCTATAAAAAAAAATATACAAATAAATAAATAATAATTTATATTGATTTATAACAAGTAAATATTCAACCGCAGCATCAAAGAGATCACATGTTTACTACACGTGATTATGGGATAATGTCACACATTAAACGTCTAAAAATCTGAAAATCTAAAAAATGCGACAATGCATAACATCAATATTGGCGTAAGTGGCGTTTTTCTTAAATGCATGTATTATGTCAAAACAAAAGATCCAATAATACTAGATGTACTTAATATGCGTTATTTTTTTTTTTTTTCGCTGTTTCAGGTTTTTTTAATTATTAAAAAAAAAAGTATATATAACTATAAGGTAAAGAAAAAAAACAGGCTTTATCATTGCCCTTTTTTTCATTATCAATAAACAATGACGATTTTAACGATTTTCTTTCTTTTCTTATCTATTGATAACATGATTTTTTTTTAACTCATTTGAAATGAATACAATAACTCATGATGTCTTATTGTTTTTGAAACAACAAAAAATCATCGACTCATAAATCTTTACACCCAACCTCCATTTCCACCATCAAGAAACGAAATAGTTGAACAAACCATTTGAAACGATCGATAAAACAACTAAAATTAAAATAAAAAAATATACAACTTTACCTTTACCGGAAATAACCACATAAAGTGTTAATGTAAGGACTGTTAAAATCCGAGACCGCAAAATCCTTGTAATTTACAGAAGAGATGTATAATCTAAAATTGTAACTACTGCAGCAGATAATTTGGGTTATATCTCAAAATTGCTTACAAAAAATAGAAACAAGAAAAAAATCAAAAGATTACATGGTTTTTTAGCGGTTTGTGCCAAAAAGTTCATAATATTTATCTCGGCTACGACGCTTATCGCAAATTTCTCAGCAAATTCAATCGCAACTTTCTCAACAAATTTCTCAACAAATTTTCCTCAACAAATTCAATCGCAACAATCGCACGCAATAGGTTACTAACATATTTGTGGAAGGATATATAGGAGAATGTTTACAACTTCCCCTGTAATAATGTAACCAACGTATTGACTGGATGGACGTTCCCTGTAGCAATTAAATGTTTGACAAGATTTACTGAAAAAAATACATCCGTCCATTACAATTTTCAAAGCTGGTAACAGGTAATAAATGTGTACCGTTCAGTTGAAAAGTGACAAAAATCCTAAAAATTTCTTTTGAAATTTTGAATAATAAAATTTCCGTTAAAATGTTAAAATTCCTTTAGTGAAATCTTTCTTAAGGTAACTGAAATGTCCTTTTAGGAAATTGGTGTAACATAAATATTTGCCACAGGAGGGAATTTGCCATAAAAAGGTGGATTTAAAAATAGATTTCATGTTATATCAACATATATATATGATAAATATTCTCATACGATTATTTTTTTCGTTCTCAATTGCATGAAAAAAAACTTTATCCTGGGGCTACATCAAAATACGTTTACTATAATTATTTATAATTCGAAACAAGATTTTTCACGTTATACTGTAAGGAATTATTACAAATTAGTATAATAATTATATGAATGTCAAATATCTGTATCATGTTTTATATTCCATGTTTTTCCGGTAATATATAACTTATAAAACTTTAAATCATGGAATTACAATTAGTCGGGATAACTTAGGCAATTATTTCTTTTTTGTGTAATATCGTGTCGTCTATTGCATAATAAAATTGAGAAATATAATTTCTTGTATAAATTATTCAGATTTTAGATAAGCTGTCTATAAAAAAAATAAAACAATTATTTGCCATTATTAGTCTAATAATTTCCATGACGGTTGTTACTGTATTTCAGCTTGAACGAATTCTCATTATATTTTTCATCCATTCAATAAGCCATATTTTTCCATATAACGAGTAATAAAAAAGTACTTCACATGATGATTATCGCAACATAATAATTTGAACGAAACATAAAAGTAATTATTAAGGATCAAAAAAAACCTTAACCGATTAATAATCGATTAATTAACCAACTACCGTAATCGATTAATAAATTAATCAGTTAATTATTATATGAATTTCCAGAAGTTTCGGAAATTTAACCGATTAAGAACCGATTAAACAAGGGCCTTAACCAATTGATTAATTGACGCTGTTAAATAGTTCAATCTGTTTTTACTCGTATATTTAGTTGCAGCGAAGTCATATTTTATTGATCTTATTATTCCGTTAGAAATTTTAGTATGAAGAACACGTGACCGAATTTCACATCTCTGGGCCGCATTAAATAATTTGACCAGAAATATGATTTAATCGATCAATCTGTTAATTAATCGATTAACGTTAATCGGTTCCCAATCTCTATATATAAATTTTTTCTAATTAATCACACTTTGAAAATTGAAAAATTACTGTAAAAATGACTACCCCAATAGTTATAAATATATGCAATTACGACATTCGATCAACAACGTCAAGAAGAAAAAGTGTGATGAGTGGTCCTACAGTTCATGTGACCTAATGTTAAGAATATTTAGTCCACAGTATACAATTAATTCCTTGAAACAAACATTGAGCTAAATTTCCGGATTATTTATAAAAATACTAAATAATGATGCGCAGTTTATATATATTTATATATATATATATTTTTTTTTAAAAAAAAATAAAATTTAATTTATTGTCCTATTTATATTTTAAAAAAAAACATGAAATAAAATGATCAAAAAGAAATAAAATAAATAAAATGAGATAAAATAATTAAACCTTGCAAAAAATAAATTTTCATTTGCAAAAGCATTCTTTGCTAAATTTTTTATATTGCCGGTTTATTAGAAAAAAATGTTAATGATAATGGGCCGCTTGATTATGTTAAAAAGAATTTTATGGTATAAATATAAGATAAAAAATGAGTTATCATTTCATGGTGGAACTTTTTGTGGTTGAACTTTAAAAAAGTAAAATAAAAAAAGAGAAAAATTTCGTTCATTTTACCTGAAAAATGTATTAATAGATCTAGGAAGAATCCTGGAATCTTGTATCTTGCATATCGTAAGAAACTGTTCCATTTACTGAAATTGAAGCTGTATTGTAGGTGTCATTATTTGAATACACTTGAGAAGTAGATTGAGTAGTATCGAAGGATTGTTGTTGAATATCATTTTGTTGATAAATAGGATGTTGGACTTGTTGTTGAATCTGTTGTTGAATTAAAGATTGTACATTATAATGATGCGGCAAAAGATAACCAGGGATATGATTGATTCCATTATTCAAGAGTTGAACATTTTCTGATAGATTTAATTCAGAATAAGTAACACGATAGATACGAGTATCATTTGGTAAATGGAAATAAAACTCAAATGTAGTGTTATAAGGCGCAGGAGTTGTAGAATTAATATGCAAGGTATTTAAATCAGAAATTCCAACATTATTAATTAAAGTATGTTGAATATTTTCATTTTTATTATTAAAAATTTGTTGAGAAGCGGAGCTATTTCCAGTTTGATCCATTGATAAATCACAATAATCTTGTATATTTTGGTTATTTGAATTCATGTTTTTTCAAAAAACAATAATATTAAGTAGACAATGAATAATTAAATATAATTGGGAAATTTAAAATTAGAAGCGAATAAATTTTTTACTCTTTAATCTGGATGGAATGTTTATAAATTTTTTTTAGACTTTTTTTCTATCGAAAAGAAAGAATAGTTATTTGTTTATATACAATTTTTTTGTAACTATATATTATATATATGTCTTTTATATAGTTACTTACATAGTTACTATATAACTTCACACATATTCTATTTACAGCTGACAGCATTTTATAACTTCCTAAATTAGTCAATGATTTTCGGATGTTAAAGACGCTATCACATGACATATCGGAATGACGTAAATCCAAATCCAAATAAGAGATAATTTAATGTTTGTAACAAATTGATATTTTAAGAAATAAAGGAAAATCCAAAAGAAGACCTCCTAATGAGTTTCAAATTATTTTGATCTAAAATTTCTTCGACAGAGAAAAAGATCATTTGATTATGTTTGTACGACAAAGATCCGCAACTAGCATTCATTTTTTCGGTGAGACGAATAGTTTAGAGTGACATTTGGCGGCGTGTAACATAAGGGATGTGAAACGTACTCAGGTGATGAATAGTATCTCGGCCCACTCTGAATCACGTGTTTGGCCCGTCGTGTTTGAGTAAACTGTCAAACAACAACATAACTTTCCGTATCACTCTCATTTTTTTAGTTTATTATTTACTAAAATGAGTTATAGTGATGTCTATGATGAGACTATTGTTATACGACTTAAAATTTGTTTATTCATTTATTTAAATTAGATTATTAGTTACAGTTAATGATACGTTTTACCGTTTTATTACCGACAGACATTTCACGTTTTACTTTATTAACAACAAATAATTTATTTTTGGTTAGGCAGTTTCAATGAAAATCTGCATGACTTTATTTCGCTAAATCGCAATTTATCGATATAAAAATTACTCAACTTAGAAAATCATACGTCATATTAAAGATTTTTGAAATTTTTCCAAATAAATCCCTTTTTTTTTAAAAAAAAAACGAAAAATCTTCATTATCAATCATTATATCATCCACCCGCCAGAATTCTGGTCTGTGCATGAACTTATTGAACTTGATTATCCAGAACATAAAATAACATAAAATAATATATATTGAAGGATGACATCATCAGTGGAATACATATAATTATAGGAAGAAAAAATTATGCAAACATTTTATTATTTACTTTATATAAACAATATTTTTTGTTATATATAGCAGAAAAAATAAATTAAATGAAAAATAAGCAGGTTCAGTTATTAATAATTAAAGCAAATTTTCACGATCAATTTTATGTCGGTGAAAAAAGATGAATTCCTTTTAAGTTTTACGTTCTTGTTATTTGCCAGTAGGATGTTAGATTTACTTTTTCTTTTTGAGGTTTCAATAAAAAGTTACAAATATTTTTTATTTAAAACTTTGAGTCATATTACTGTAATGTGTAAAAGTTTAGATTTGTATTAAATGTCCTTACGTTGTCAATTGAAGCTAGCGTTGCTATTATCAAGAATTTGTAGAGGAACTATTTCCAGTTTAGTTTGATTATCTGAATTCATGTTTTTCAATTTCAATTGAAAAAGGATTTTTAAATTAAAATTATTAAAATATCTAATATAATTATCGAATATCTAATATAATTTAATCGAACGTGTTAATTATCATAATAATTACTATTGTTATTAGAATTAATATAATTGTTGCAATTTTGGGTTTTACAGCTGCCAAATTTTTATAAAATACTTTGATAAATAAATCATTTTCTATAATTCTCATGAAATATTATTCAGAGTAAGTTTTGTATTGAATTTTTTAATCTCTTTTCCGAAAAGTCTTTGTAATAACTACCAATAATATGTTTAGAGAACTCGAATTTATTTGAACTTTCTTTTTTTTTTTATTTTCAATCTAATTCATTAATTCTTTATTTAATGAATTTATATTGATAAACCAGATTAATAACTGTTAACCCATGATGATAATTGATTCAAAAGTCATATTAATAGGGATTGGAACCGTCCAAAAAAACCTTAACCGGTTAAAAACCGGTTAACCAAGGGTCTTAACCGGATAATAACCGGTTAATATTAAAAATATTTTAAAAACTTTTTTTACTGCAAATTGTACCAATTTTTGATTTTACTTGCATATTTAGTTATAGGAAGACTATATATCACTAAAATTATTATAAATAAATAGAAAAAAATTCGGCATTAAAACTTCAAGTTTAGGAACACGTGGCCGCAATTTACATATCTCTGGGCCGCATTATATAAATCTGACTAGGATTATGATAAATATAGTTTTAACCGGTTAACCGATTTTCAAAATCCTTTAACCGGTTAACCGTCTTAACCGGTTAATTAACCGGTTAACATTAACCGGTTCCAATCCCTACATATTAAAGTAACTTTTTACCAAATAGAATGATGGTGACGTCTGTAGACGTAAAAATAAATGCGAGCTTGGCGATCAGTCGATCAAATACAGACGGAAATTATAAGAATACAGAATTTTGACGATAAATAAAAAAAAAACTCTTTCCGAAATTGTGTAATTTTTATTGTAATTCCGCAGTAAAAAAATTTTTTTTATAATTTTGTAGTTTTTAATATTTATTCTTCACACAAAATTGATCTCAACTTAAAAGAAAATATAGAAAAGCATGAATATATATTATATAATATAGACTTTCATGAAACTTCAAAAGCAACAAGTTAAAACAACTTATGAAGAGTGGTGCACTATGCGACCTTTTGCGAAAACTTGGTATTTTTTCTACCTCACAACATACTCTATCTTATTTTATAAATACAATAACAAACATACTGAAAGATATCAAAATATTATATAGTAGATACGTTCCCGTATTGACGCACATATATATCTCTAAGATAGGAGATATCATTTCGATAGTTGAGAAATAATGAACTGTCATAAAATCGCATAATAATCTTTACGACAGGAGAAAAGGCCAAATGAGAATATTTGAGGAACAAATCTCCTAAAAGGATTGCGTTTGTGCCTTCTATAAATTCCTTACTATTAAAATTGTAAACAGTTGGGGATTCACGACGTACCAGGTTACCAGTTTAAGTGGTAATCATGAGCTGTAGCGTCCTTTGAGAGAAAATAGTACTAGTACGGAAGGGCTTCGTAATATGGGTCACATATGAATTAATGAGAAGTAATTAAACAATCTAAACCTCATGTAGATAACAGTACTAGGGACGTAGGATTATCTTGGAATATGTGTGGTCCTTCTCAGATGGAGGTTTCGAATTCATCGTGAACTAGCGGTCCAGCGCGGTTGATTGTGCAGGCAATGCTTTCTCATGTACTGTAGCCATAATCCTACATTTGGAGAACAAAAAAAAATTTTTTTGAGAATTCAGGGAGAAGAATTAAACCACGATATAGAAGATATTCTGGTTCGTAAGATGATCATCATATGAAATTCTCGTGGCCTGGTACAATATCAAGAAATTAGCGTGGCTGTTAAAACTTTGATGAAGTAACAAGTTGAGTATCAAAGTCACAAATTTTAATATCGTTGAAATCCCTCCTTTATTCTAGTTATGTCATAAATATATACGTTGAATTCATGGGAATTGGATGATTACTCCGTTGATAGATTTGGTTATACGACTATTAAGTGGTCGCACTATTTATTTATTATGTTGTTGGATGATAACGTGAGGAATTAAAAGGAATACAAGAATTTTAGAGAATTTTAGAGAAAGTAAGGGATAATATACGATAGTGGTGGAAAGTTGGTATTGGAATTTACGAAAAGTTGATGATTCGTTACACATTTGATTATTTCTAAAATGCACTTTTTTCAAATTAAGGGTCGGGTTGGGTCGCACGATTTGATGATCCGTAACCCGCATGAACTCGACCCGACTCGTCGAGTCGGTTATACCTTTACTTTGACCCGGCGACCCGAATCTTTTTATTATATTTTTAACTAAAATTTAAATTTTTTTATATTAAATACGAACCCGGGTTATCCGAGTCAGTCTATAATTGGGTCAAGTCGAATCCGGGTCATTACTTTTACGCACGGGTCGAGTTCGAATACACCTCAAAACCCGATCCGACTCGACCCCTTCGGAACACTATTTTCAGATCATTTGAATTGAAAATGCATCATAAAGAGTGCAAAAGATTCCAATCATTTACCACCAGGATAAACGAAGAAGCTAATGTTTTTCGACAGTTTCAAGAAATTACAAGATGCCACCCGGATTATAACTAAGAAAGTAAAAACGGGAAATTGTACTAAAAAGCGAGGAGAGTCCAAAAGAAAAGAAATATTAGGGGGTGGATCGGAACATAAGGAGTGCCGCCATAGGAGACGTGACAAAGGTCCGTAAGTAGTTGAGAAAATTTTTTTTAACATGTTTTAATTTATCATCTTAAGGTTAATTGATTTAGAAAGCTTTATTACTTTATGTAGTAATTGCGTTTAAGTACTAGTTACAAATTATTCCGGGAACTACTCTTTTTTTTAAAAAAAAAAGAAAGAAAAGAAAAAAAGATTTCATCTAAAACAATGTTCACATATTCTTTTCTCTTAAGGTTCAAGGGGACACGAATCTGTTAATCCTTCTTGAAGTCTTATTACAAGCCGTATGCAAATAGAAATAGTCTTTTAAAAAATATAATTAATCGTCTTTATATATAATATTTTTTTGGTGAAGAAGAATTATAATATCAAAATCAAATTTAAAATCAAAATAAAATCTGCATCGATAATATAGCTATTTTAATATTAAAAAGATGTATATATTTTCAAACAGAACAGATAATATAATAAATATAAAGTTTTTGCGATCAAAATTCAAGGGAAGTACAAATTTATAATTTTTCTTATACGTTTGGCCGTTACTCTTAATTACAAATTAAATTATCGGTAAAAATGTGAATAAATCTTTTATTATTATATTTGTTCGGACATACTATAAACACTTATTTATACGCAGTAAAATGAGTAAATAAATTTTTTTTAAAGAATGAATAACATTTTATTGAATTTTGTTCCGTTTATACAAAAAACTAAGCAAAAAAAATAAAATAAACAAAAATAAAAATAAACAAAAATAAATAAATTTTGAATAAGAAAATTAAAGCTATTTCTCTTTTAAAGTATTTTTCCATAGAGAACAATGCGATAAAGGCCGTTCAATTTTCGCTAAAAAAAATAATACTTATGTAAAAAATGAAAATGAATTATCATTTCATAATCTTAACTTTTCTTTTCGAACTTTAAAAAGCAAAATAAAATAAATAAATAAATTAACATTATTTACCAAAACCATTAAATATCCATTAAGGAGAATTCTGGAATCCCGTATCTCCCATATCTTGCGTTGCTGCATTGTAGGTGTCATTATTTGAGTATACTTGGGAAATAGGTTGAGTAGTGTCGAAAGGTTGTTGTTGAGTGTTGTTTTGTTGATAAACAATAGGATGATGGACTTGTTGTTGAATCTGTTGTTGAATTAGAGATTGTAAATTATAATTATGCGGCAACTGATAATCAGGAATGTGAGATAGATTAATTCTATCATTCAGGAGTCTCGCATTTTCTAATGGGTGTAATTCGGTATACTGATAAGTAACGTGATAGATACGTGCATCGTTTGGTGAGGGAAAGTAAAATTCAAAAGTAGTATTATGAGGCACAAGAATTGTAGGATTAATACTATTAATGTGCAAGGTGTTTAAATTCGTATCAGATACACCAACATTGTTAATTAAAGTATGCTGATTATTTTCATTATTATTTTGAGGAGCGGAGCTATTTCCAGTTTGATCCATTGATAAATTATAATAATCTTGTGTATTTTGGTTATTTGAATTCATGTTGTTCAATATCAAAAGACAAATTATAATAAGTATGATTAGGAAATTTAAGATTTTTGTACTCTTTAATCTAGATAGAAGGTCTTTAAATTTTTTTAGAAGAATTGCGCGGTGTTTATATAAATATTTTACTAAGATTATGCATCAGGTGTAACGATATTAGCATAATAAATAAATGATTGCGAGTACGTTATTATGAGGTGAATGAAATAAAAAATTTTATTTTTTTTACACTGAACTCTGAGAAATATGATCTTCAATTGAAAATTTCCCTTTTTAGCATTAGTAATATTTAATGAGTAGTTCTAAAATAGGCTTTTTAATTCCTCTTAAAAAAAAAAAAAAAAATTTATTTTTTTTACACTGAACTCTGAGAAATATGA